AATTAATTGATCCTACAGTCATCCAGATTATTCCATAATCTTACTCCTGTAACTGAAGTACATCTGTACTTTGAATTTGTTTCAATTTTAGGTTTTACAAAAAATTCTAGTTAAGATTATAACAATTTTCCCTCTTCACAAAATTTGATTGGTTGTTCAAAGATAATGCGCCTTATACATAACCTGTAAAATATTATAATCAACCAACTCATAAAACTTTAATAATGTCAATTGATGAAATAATATATTTGTCCCAAAGGAAACAAATATTACATGAGCAACTTTTACATCAGGTCTAAAGCTTCTCACTGTTGTTAATTCTGAATATTTGAGTTTTTATGAACGTCTGGACCTTCCAGTATTTATACATTTTGATTTAAATGTTAAACATGTCAAATATGATTTGTAATTTCTCTGACTTTTCTCTCTTTGCCTGGCCTGTTTCTGGAAGGAGCCGTCAGTCCTTGAAGGTTCGGGAACATAAAGTCCTGGGTCCGTACGTGGACGGCCTGTCTCAGCTGGCTGTTACRAGCTTTGAGGTCAGTTTTGCACCCGTCTGTCGTCAGTCTGAGCTGAGTGAGACACGTCCCTGGTGCCGTCACCAGGCTGTGTGTGGTTTAGACGCCGGCCCTCGGCAGCTCCTTCCTTCATGACGTTCAKACGTCTCCGCCCTGTTCCTCTGGGCTCGGATGCCTGATGTTGCTGCGGTGGATTTCCCRCCGCCTGTTTTGACCTGGCTGCACCGAGTCACTCCTGCTTTTGATCCAGACCACCCAATCTGCGAGCGTTTTTGTTTCTTTTCTTGTGAAGGTCTGCATTAACTCAGGATGCTGTGTGTGTTCCTCTCTGTTCAGGACATCGAGGTGTTGATGTCGGAAGGGAACAAGTCCCGCACGGTCGCAGCCACCAACATGAACGAGGAGAGCAGCCGATCACACGCCGTCTTCAGCATCATCGTCACTCAGACACTTTACGATCTGCAGTCTGGAGTTAGTTACAAATTTAATACTTTCCTTCTTGAAGTACATTTAGATCTCTGCAATTCCTTTAAAAACATTTTCCTCTTTACAGTCTGATTCAACAAACTTGGTCTATTTTCATTTTACCTTTTAGCTACCTTTCTCCTGCTTTTAGCTAATGTTATGCTGAATTTAGCTTGTTACTAGCCTTTTGCTGTTTTAAGATTTATCTATCATTCTGCAACTTTTAGACTGTACCTGTCATTATTAGACATTACCTGTGTTTTATTACCTTTGTCTTAAACTAGTGTTTTGCTTGTTTTAGCTTTTAGCTAGCCTTTTACTACTGTTGCCTTCTAGCTTATTCTTTTGTTACCTTTAACTACCTATTTTTACTTTTAATATTTAGCTAGCCCTTTGTTACTTTTAGCTTTTAGGTGGTGTTTTTTGTTTTAGCTTTTAGCTAGCCTTTTGCTGCTGTTACCTTCTAGCTGTTCTTTTGCTATTTTGACTACCTATTTTTTACTTTTAATATTTAAAAGCTAGCGTTGAACTAGCCTTTTGTCACTTGTATTTTTTAGCTAGCCTTTAATAATTTTAGTTTTCAGATAGTGTTTTCCTACTTTTAGCTAGCATTTTGTTCTTTTTGCTTTGTTAATTTTTAAATTAATATTTTGCTTGTTTTAGCATTTAGCTAGCCTTTTGCTACTGTTACGTTCTAGCTATTCTTTTGCTACTTTTAACAACCTATTTTTTTACTTTTAATATTTAAAGACTAGCTTTGAACTAGCCTTTTGTCACTTGTATCTTTTAGCTAGCATTTGATATTAGTTTTAAGATAGTATTTTACCACTTTTAGTATTTTATAGTATATAGTATACTATAGTATTGTATACTATAGTATACTATATATATATATATATATATATGTACTATAGTATGCTATATATAGTATACTATAGTATTGTATATAGTATATTTATTTTTTGTATTTTTTAGCATTTTGTTATTTTTGTTTTCTTAATTTTTTATTTAGTGTTTTGCTTGTTTAAGCATTCAGATAGCCTTTCGCTACTTTTAGCTTTAAGCTAGCTTTTTCTACTTTTAGCAACAGCTAACCTTGTGCTACTTTTTACAGTATCTGTCCATGTTGCAGCTTTTAGCTATAGTGTTTTGTTGCATTTAGCTTTTAGCTAGCATTTTGCTTGTTTTAATTTTGAGCTAGCGTTCCGTATCTTTTAGCTTTAGCAGCTCTGTTTTAGCTTCTTCAGTAAATGTCTCCAGCTCTTTGTGTTTTCATGATTAAAGCTGAGTCTGCTGTTYGTTCTCAGAACTCAGGGGAAAAAGTGAGTAAGATGAGTCTGGTGGACCTAGCAGGAAGTGAGCGTGTCTCTAAGACCGGAGCTGCTGGAGAGCGACTGAAAGAAGGCAGCAACATAAACAAGTGGGCCTTTGTTTTCTATGATTAACTGCAGTTCGAATGTTGAGCGGGTCAGTTGATGAAGACCTCCGATGCTTTTCTCTGTGGTTTTAGGTCTCTGACCACGTTAGGATGTGTGATTTCTGCTCTGGCCGATCAGTCTGCAGGGAAGGGGAAGGCCAAGTTTGTGCCTTACAGAGACTCAGTCCTCACCTGGCTGCTAAAGGTTTGACCCGCATTAATACATAAATATAACTGTTTAATGCTGTTTTTAAAGGTCTTCACTATTTTGATGCCAAAATAAAATCATCTGCACTGATTTGATTGAATTTGAATTATTTGCATTAACTACAACTACAGTATTTTTGCAAATATTCTTCAAAATTATAAAATAAATAATAATAACACACAATAATGAAATTAACATTTCCTGCCAAAAAAAAACCTCATGTAATCTGAGTGCTCAGGTTGGGGATCGATCTCAGCTACTACCACACCAAATTTTATCTCAGTATCTATAAAATTGACTGGGTTACAGCTATTTTTGTGTTTGCTGAACTTAATTAGCTGTGGCGGCCATCTTGAGTCCGCTTGACTCCAAATGTTAATCAGTTGTAGATGAACATCCAGGGATTAATGACTGAGAGTTTCATTAAAATTCATCTAATGATTCGTGAGATATTTCGCTAACAGACAGACAGATTACCACACAGACACAGGTACATGCTTGTCAAAACATGGAAACACGTTTGAGCAGCTCTGCTTCTCCTCAGGACAACCTGGGCGGGAACAGTAAGACGGCCATGATCGCCACGGTGAGTCCGTCTGCCGATAACTACGAGGAAACCCTGTCCACGCTGCGTTACGCCGACAGGGCCAAGAGAATCGTCAATCACGCCGTGGTGAACGAGGATCCCAAYGCTCGCATCATCAGGGAGCTCAGGGAGGAGGTGGAGAAGCTGAAGGTTCAGCTCTCTCAGGCCGAGGTGAGWCCAGCACACACGGTCCGGTCCGTTTCCTGCCAGGCTTCATCAGAAACGGGACCGATTCTGAATCCGTTTTCAGTCCATGAAGGCTCCGGAGCTGAAGGAGAAGCTGCAGGAGTCCGAGAAGCTCATTCAGGAGATGACCGTCACCTGGGAGGAGAAGCTGAGGAAGACGGAGGAGATAGCCGCCGTAAGCGCGAGTCAATGCAGCTCTAAAAGTAAAAGTCCTTTCAGTGCACGTTCCCACGTTTTCACGTTATCGTCTGTGTTTGCAGGAGCGGCAGAAGCAGCTGGAGAGCATGGGCATCTCTTTGGAAACATCGGGGATCAAAGTGGGAGAAGACAAGTGTTTCCTGGTCAATCTGAATGCCGACCCCGCCTTAAACGAGCTGCTGGTTTACTACCTGAAGGTCAGTGTGGCCGAGTGCTCAACTTTACTGCAGAAGCACAATAACGTGAAGTTTTTTGGGGATTTTTTATAAGCTGATACAGATGTATAAAGAAAAGCCAGAATATTTTTTACAGCTGCACAAACCTTCAGTTCAAATTGTGTCTTCAACTGTCACATCACCATCTCTAACTCAGGGGATTCCCCCAGAAAACGTGCTAAGGCTGAAGTTATCATAGCGTTTTTCATGTTGCAGGAGTGGGGGGTTTAGCRTAGCAGAATAATTTCTAATGCTAGGATAGAAGAGTGCTACATTGCTAATGCTAGGTCATGGCCACTTGTCCTGTTTTCACAATCTCAGCTATGCTGGCTCTAAATAAATGAAGATGAGCCTGGTGATAAGGCACGTAAGAAACTGTCCCAAACTCGTGTCAAACGTGTCTTGAACTTGTGTCAAACTTATCTTGAACTCGTCTCAAGCTTGTCCTGAACTCGTCTCAAACTTGTCTTGGAACTCGTCTCAAGCTTGTCTTGAACTCGTCTCAAACTTGTCTTGAACTCATCTCAAACTTGTCTTGAACTCGTCTCAAACTTGTCTTGAACTCATCTCAAACTTGTCTTGAACTCATCTCAAACTTGTCTTGAACTCGTCTCAAACTTGTCGAACTCATCTCAAACGTGTCCTGAACTCCTCTCAAACTTGTCCTGAACTCATCTCAAATTTATCCTGAACTCGTCTCAAACGTGTCCTGAACTTGTCTCAAATTTGTCCCAAACCATTCTAAAACTTGTCCTAAACTCATCTAAAACTTTTCCTGAACTCGTCTCAAACTTGTCTTGAACTCATCTCAAACTTGTCCCGAACTTGTCTCAAACTTGTCCTGAACTCTTCTCAAACTTGTCCTGAACTCTTCTCAAACTTGTCCTGAACTCGTCTCAAACTTGTCTTGAACTCATCTCAAACTTCTCTTGAACTCGTCTCAAGCTTGTCCTAAACTCGTCTCAAACGTGTCCTGAACTCGTCTCAAACCTGTCCTGAACTCGTCTCAAACTTGTCCTGAACTCGTCTCAAATTTATCCTGAGCTCGTCTCAAACTTGTCCTGAACTTGTCTCAAACTTGTCCTGAACTTGTCTCAAATTTATCCTGAACTCGTCTCAAATTTGTCCCAAACCATTCTAAAACTTGTCCTAAACTCATCTGAAACTTGTCCTAAACTCATCTGAAACTTGTCTTGAACTCGTCTCAAACGTGTCCTGAACTCGTCTCAAACTTGTCCTGAACTTGTCTCAAACTTGTCCTGAACTCGTCTCAAATTTATCCTGAACTCGTCTCAAATTTGTCCCAAACCATTCTAAAACTTGTCCTAAACTCATCTGAAACTTGTCTTGAACTCGTCTCAAACGTGTCCTGAACTCGTCTCAAACTTGTCCTGAACTCGTCTCAAATTTGTCTCAAACCATTCTAAAACTTGTCCTAAACTCATCTGAAACTTGTCTTGAACTTGTCTCAAACTTGTCCTGAACTCGTCTCAAATTTGTCCCAAACCATTCTAAAGAGAAGAGAAGGTGCAGCAGCCTTTTGGTCAATTAAAAGTAGAGKTCTGTGAGAAACCAGCCTGCACAGRCTTCTGTACCYGACACATCAGTGARGAATGACTGAACCGGGTCAGAACCTCCTTTAGAAGCTGGGACGTTTGCTCAACAGCACCAGATTAGTTTTTCTTCTCACAGAGGCCCAGTTTTTAGAGTCCAGACTGTGTTTAAACGATTTGTCTGTGTGTCAGGAGCACACACGTGTGGGCGCAGACACGTCTCAGGACATCCAGCTCTTTGGGATCGGGATCCAGCCGGAACACTGCRTCCTGGAGCTCTGCCCGGACAGTGATGTCACCCTGATGCCCTTGGGGAACGCCAGGTGAGCCGTGGTTTCTGTCTGACCGGAGCTCAGAGCTTCACATGACCTCACCGCACAGGAATCGGACTCTCTGATCCGCTTCCTGCTCTTTCTGAACCAAATTTGAAGATYGAATCTGTGTTTTCTGCAGAACCTGCGTGAACGGCACCACGGTCGACTCCTTGGTGCACCTGTGGCACGGGGACCGTATCTTATGGGGGAACAATCACTTCTTCAGGTGCRAACCTTTCTTCCTGCTGCTGTTCAAATGTTTAGAAACGTTACAGAGCAGGAAAAGAAACGAAGATGAGATTCTGGTTTTTTGTTTTTAGGGTAAATCTCCCGAAAAGAAAGCGGCGGGACCGTTTGAAGGAGCTGGAGAAAGCCTCGCCCAGAGAGAGCTTTGTGGAGGTGGACGTAGAAACGGCCAGCGAGGCCTCCTCCGAGCCGGACTACAGCTACGAGTTCGCCCAGATGGAGGTCATCATGAAGACGCTGGGAAACAACGGTACGACCGGATCAATCGGACAAATCCACGTTTCTTTCTTGGATGTTAAAACGCTCGTTCCCCTCGACCGTAGACCCCATGCAGAACGTGGTCCAGGTCCTGGAGAAGCAGTACCTGGAGGAGAAACGAACAGCCCTGGAGGAGCAGAGGCTGATGTACGAGCGGGAGCTGGAGTCGCTACGTCAACAGCTGTCTYCTGACAAAACGTCTCAGGGGCCCCGGAGCGGCCTGAGCTACCCGCCGCACACGCCCCACAGCAAGCTGCCGCTGTGGAGCGAGGAGCGGTCAGTGGAGCGCAACACACYGGTTCTAGTACAGAGAACTGCACAGATACTGGGTCACGGGTCATAGCTGTGAACGACTGTCAGCCGCCACGTCAATATCTAATAATAACAGCATTATAACCACATCTGAGCTTTATTGCAACTTACTTTCTAACATCAGCTAATTACATAACAACTGATAATTAGGGGTGCAACGATACAGAAAATTCAGGATTCGGTTCAATRCTTTAGTCTCACGGTTCGATAYTTTTTCRATACAAAAAAAGAAAAATGTTCWTTATAAATTGTAATTTATTTAAATTAATTATGAACATTTGTTTAAACTCAAAATACAGTTTTTAAATTAAATGTTGCTGAAACRGCAAGTTTCTCAGTGGATCTGCGCTCGACAGTGCAGCCTAGGTGGAGTAGTCGAACACAGATCCACTGATCCTTCAACACAGAGCATCTTCAGAAGACAAGCTGATAAAATAAATTTTAAAAATCTGTGTTGTTCCATACATAGTGTGTATTGAACGGTTCGATACGGGTACATGTACTGTTGCACCCCTACTAACCATACTGTAGCTTTTTCTTTTAATTATTTTACATAGTCTGATTTTTACTTTTAATAAATAACATTTTCAGCACATGAACAAAGCTAGTAAAGTTAAATATAAAAATGTTTAAACAGGCACCAGGCTGTAAMATTTTTTTAAACACACATATGCCCTAAAATGCTTTAAAATACTTTGGAATGAGTTCATAAAGATCAGTTTTTATTCTCCGTTTGCATGTGGTTGAGAAGTGCAAACTCAGCAGAAAGATGTTTTGCTAAATATCCATGGTGTTTGTGTGGATGGGGCCTCACACACATAAAGAGCTAAAGTTGGTGCCACAAAACTGGGTTTTTCACTTCGTAAAAAAATAAAGTTGTCCATAAAAACACATTTTAAAGTACCTAAACAGGAAACCTGTGTTTTACTGAAACATGAAGGTGTTTTTGTCCCGATAAGTGACGTCTTTCCGTCTGTGCGAGACAGGGAYGAGCTTTTCCGTCAGAGTCTGTCTCGGCTCAGGGAGCAGGTTGTCAGAGCCAACACTTTGGTGCGAGAGGCCAACTTTTTGGCCGAGGAGATGAGCAAACTCACCGACTATCAGGTCACCCTTCAGATCCCCGCTGCCAACCTCAGCGCCAACCGCAAGGTCAGACCTCTGAAGCCTGGCTCCTGCATAAAAACAAAGAGGAGCGTGGACCTCAGCTTGTATGTGTTTATCTGAAACTGGTCTTTTGTAGCGTGGGGCCATAGTAAGCGAGCCAGCCATTCAGGTTCGGAGGAAGAGGAAGGCGCCTCAGGTTTGGACCATTGAGAAGCTGGAGAACAAGCTGGTGGACATGAGAGACCACTACAGGGACTGGAAAGAAGGCAGAGAGGAAACGGTGAGAAACCATGAGCACGGGAAAAAAACTMAACTAAATGTTCTCGTTAACTCTGCTCTCTTTGTTCCTCCCAGAATAATAAAGCCAACCACAAATGCTGCGATCCGTTCTACGAGGCACACGAGAACCACAACCTGATCGGRGTGGCCAACATTTATCTGGAGAGCCTTTTCCATGACGTGAAGCTGCAGTACGCCGTCCCCATCATCAGCCAGCAGGGAGAGGTGAACCCTGAGAATACGAGCTGTGATTTATGACTGCTGAATGACAGCCGACATCTGAAGAACGAGATGAAGTTTTAATATTCAAGATGAAAGAAAAAGAACACTGGCTAAAAGCCAAACGTTTAGGGGCTAAAAGTAGCGCAATGCTAACTAAAGTGTAAAGGAAGCAAGCTAAGAAAAGCAACCTTCTTACTAAATATAGTTAAAAAGCTAGGTAGAAATGGCAAAAACTAAATAAAAGTAGCATAATGCTAAGTAAAAATAAATAAAACACCATCCAAATGCTAAAAGTAGCATAACTAAAGTTAAAGGTAGCAAAATRCTAACTAAAATTTTTAAAAGCTAGCTTAAAGTAGACTAGTTCAAAGCAAAATATAGCAAAACACTATCTAAAAACTAAAAGTAGTCAAATGCTAGCTAAAAAATTTAAACAGCTTACTTAAAGTAACAAAATACTACTAAAACCTAAAATTGCATAATACTAGCTACATGGTAAAAGAGGCTAAAGGTAGCAAAAGACTCAAAAACTCAAAGCAGCAAAATGCTAGCTAGAAATAGTTAGAAAGCTAGCTTAATGTAGCAAAAAACTAGCTAAAAGGTAAAAGCAGCTAAATGTCACGACAATAAGCTCAAAATCACAAATTGCTAGCTAAAGATAACCAAAAGGCTAGCTAAAATGAGCAAAACACTAACTAAAAGCAAAAAAGTTGTAAAATGCTAGCTAAAATTATTTAAAATGCTTACTTAAAGTAACAAAATACTACTAAAAGCTAAATTTGCATAATGGCTAAATGGTTAAAAAAGCTAAAGGTAGCAAAAGACTCAAAAACTCAAAGTAGCAAAATGCTAGCTAGAGATGGTTAAAAGGCTAGCTTAAAGTAGCAAAAAACTAGCTAAAAAGTAAAAGAATCTAAATGTCATGACAGTAAGCTCAAAGACACAAATTGCTAGCTAAAAATAGCCAAAAGGCTAGCTAAAATTAGCAACAAAAAAAAAACAAGGGGAAAAGAAGCTAAATGTCACAACAACAAGCTCAAAGTAACAAATTACTAGCTAAAAATAGTTCAAAGGCTAGCTACAGGTAGCAAAAGATTAGCTAAAACGTAAAAGAGGCTAAATGCAGTCGTAAATGTAAAAGCTAAAAGTGTTAAAACCAAAGCTAAGAGCTGCATGCTAACATTCTGTTGGTGTGTACAGGTAGCGGGCAGGTTGCACGTTGAGCTGCAGCGGCTCAGTGGAGCTCTTCCTGAGCATCTCTCAGGAGGAGACGACTCGTCGGAGAACTCCAGTGAGTGCAGCTGCTATGAGGTCATGGACACCAACGGAGAGATCGTCCACATGGCTAAAAGGCTCACCTGCAGGGTAAAAAAAAAAAACCCACCTCTAGTGGGTATATAACCATTATTTATCAGCCTTTACTTTGAAAATAATGACTGTTTGTCTCATTGATGAAGGTGAGGATCAAAGAGGCCACGGGGCTGCCGCTCAACCTGTCCAACTTTGTCTTCTGCCAGTACACCTTCTGGGAGCACGGGGAGCCCACCGTGGCTCCTCCCATGGTCAGCCCCGACAGGCCTTCGCCTCCAAGCCCAGACGCTCACTTCACGGTCCAGTTCRACCACTGCAAGGTGCAGAACGAGTCTCTGACGCCGCCGTTCACGTCAGCTGTATTTTACCCCGACTCTTTTGATCTCGCCCAGGACTACGTCGTGCACGTGACAGACGAGTTCTTGGAGTTCATCTCGGACGGCGCTCTGTCCRTAGAGGTGTGGGGTCACCGCTGTGCCGGCGGCGGGAGCTCGCTCTGGGAGTTGGATGCTCTGGAAGCCAAGACTCAGACTCTCCGAGACAGGTGGGATAAGTTGCTCACGTCTTTGGGACTCCCGCTCCTCCGACGCTGACCCTTCTTTCCCGCTCCTGGAAGGTGGAGCGACGTGTCTCGCAGGATCGAGCTGTGGGTCTCCATCCAGGAGCTGAACGAGCAGGGCGAGTACGCGCCTGTGGAGCTGCAGCCTGTCAAAGACGTCAGCACAGGAGGCGTCTTCCAGCTGCGGCAGGTCAGAGAGGAAAGAAACAACCTAAAAGAGGGGCAGAGTTTTTTTTTTTTAAACTTTATTAATTTCTTTAAAAAATTACAATAAATTTACATACAATAAAAATACAACTCACAAATAAAATGAAAGGCGGCAGAAAGAAGATAAAATCTTATAGTATCTGTGCCTTTTCCCTCCTAAAATTAATATTTTAAACAATAATAATCTACAAACAAGTTATTATAGTTAACTAAAACTAACTAAATAACAAAAACTGAAATTGAACATTTTAGTTAACTGAAATAAATAAAAGCTGTAATAAAATGAAAAAATGATAACTAACCTAAAACTGTATAAACTTTTTACAAAACTAACTGAAATTATAGGTAGAATATCCTTAGTTTTAGTG